CGCCAAGCGCTTCACCACCGTGTACAACCTGCGGGCGCACAGCCGCGCCCACGAGCAGGAGGCGGCGCACAAGTGCGAGGCGTGCGGGCAGCGCTTCCCCAGCGCCGCCCGCCTCGCCGCCCACCGCCGCCGCAGCCACCTGGAGCCCGAGCGGCCCTACCGCTGCGACTTCCCCGGTAAGCCGCCTCTGGGGCTGGGCTCCCTTCCCTCCCCTTCCAGAAACTGGGATCCCCGCCCTGAGGCCGTGCGGCGCTCGGCTCGCTTCTTCTGCCCCCCGCTTCTCCTTCCTCTCCGTGGAAGTGGAAGACGCTCCCCGGAGTGTCGAGGGAAGTTCTCCTCCGGGCCACCTCAGTTACCAAGAGGAAAAAATAGGGAGTTGGATGATGTTGTGCCTTTCCTCCTATTGGTGCAGTGAAACACCGCAAGACACGGCGCCAGCGTTCAGTGGGTGCTTCTTAACCCAGGCTATACTTGATTGCCCAGCTTGGCAAAGCAATTGGAATTCCTGGGAATAATATTTAGGATTTCACTGCTCGGTTTTTTTACCTTTTCCCCGATGTAATATCCTGAAAAACAATCATGAAAGTACCTCGCTAAAAGCTGGGAGGGAGAAAAGAATGCAGTTTTCCTGACTGAGTTTTGTCAAGCAGATGTGCCGTTTCCCTTTTCTCTCCAGGCTGTGAGAGAACGTTTATCACAGTGAGTGCATTATTCTCCCACAATCGAGCCCACTTCAGAGAGCAGGAGCAGTTCTCCTGCTCATTCCCTGGCTGTAACAAGCAGTATGACAAGGCCTGCCGACTGAAAATCCACATGAGGAGTCACACAGGTATTCACAGGGATGACTTGTAAACTGGGAAGTACAGGGAGAACTGTAGACTTCAATGTGGTGGAAAAACTGAAAGTCAGGAAGGGTGACAGTAGTTATTTGGAGTCAAGGAAAGTATTTGATTCTTTTGGGGATGGGAGTCCACTGAATGAAGTTGTCATATGCAGAGTAGTTAGGGACGTGCAAAGCTGTGGCTTTTGTCCAGAGAAAACAATCTCAGCTCTATTCCCAAGTTCACAGATGTTCAGAATGTTGCGTAAATTTTACTTTAGATACAAACAACTAAAAACTCAGAACGTGTGGAATGTACAGTTTGGAACAGCAAGAAGATAAATTTCAGCTCTGGCACGCACGCCTGACTTGCAAGGACCACTGCAAAGCTGAATTACAGCCTTGTCATGTTATTGCTGTGTCCTCTACTGTCCTCTCTTTTCCTGGTTTAATGGTTTTACAGTTTTGAGGTCTTTTAAAGTGTCACTTGAGGTTCATAGGTGTGATGGAAGCCAATATCACATACTTCACAGTCTCGTAATCAAGACACAGTGACAGATCATGAAAACGGGTAAAAACAGTCGTGTTTCTGACTGTGATGCTGTTACTGCCTATTGAAGCAGCTTCAGGATATTAGGTGGATTGAGAAATACCTGTGCTCTCTGATACAATAACGTGGAGTTAAAGGAAGCCCAGATTGTAGGAGGGGGAAGGGACATGATAGTACTCCTGTGTTCCAGGAGAAGCCTGGTTGTTTTGTCTTGTCTTAATTTAGCTTAAGCAGGTTTTAAGATTTTCTAGTAGCAGTATGTGGTTTTGTATTAGATTATTAATGTACCATTTTTTATTCAAGGTGAAAGACCTTTTATCTGTGACTTTGAAGGCTGTGGCTGGTCTTTTACTAGTATGTCCAAGCTTCTGAGGCATAAAAGGTAAAGCAAGCTTTTTCTGATTATACTGTCCTAAGGCACTGGCTGTTTTGCTTGTCTTTGTTTATCTTCCAGTAGCTAAGCAGTAGTGGATTTATCATGCCAGTGACAATTTCCTTCTCTTGTAGGAAACACGAAGATGACAGGAGATTCATGTGCCCAGTAGAAGGCTGTGGGAAGTCCTTCACAAGAGCAGAACACTTGAAAGGCCACAGTATAACTCACCTTGGTACAAAACCATTTGAGTGTCCAGTAGAAGGTATTGCTCCATTCTCATATGTGTTTCCTGGTAACTGGTGTGTATTTCTGTCTAAAGGTTATGTGTGCATGGTACAGCACTGGAATAATTTAGAGTGAGTCTTCTAACGGGGTTTGAAGAGGTAAAACTAAACAGAACACTGAACAAGTGATCATTCCCAGAGTTAGGAATGACAGAGCAAACTGTTTTGTACTGTAGCTTGACCACCCTCACCACTTCAGTGGGACTCCAGAAGCAAAGGGTTTTGGGTGTGATCTGGATTATTCAGCTTTTTAAAGTAAAGTAGCTCTACTTGATGATTGTTTCTCCTTTTTATGGTGTTTCCAGCAGTTGTCATGGAAAATTTCAGATGCCATAGTGTGAAAAGGCTGTGCTTTACACTGAATGACTTAAGAGCTTTGTGTTGTCAGAAAGAGTTTGTTACACTGTCCTACCCTTGACAGGTTTACTTTCTTGTGGTGTCTTTGAATGCATGCACAGGTACTGCAAAATAGCAAGTGATTTGTTAAGACATTAAATATTAATATTAAATTGAAACTTCATTAAATTTGAAACTTCAAAGCCTTATATATCTTCTTGCAGGCTGTTGTGCAAAATTTTCAGCACGAAGTAGTCTGTATATTCACTCCAAAAAACATCTTCAGGATGTGGACTCGTTAAAGACTCGGTGCCCTGTTTCCAGCTGCAATAAACTCTTCACTTCCAAACACAATATGAAGGCTCACATGGTCAAGCAGCATAACTTCAGCCCAGGTAGTGTTTGTCTCTATCTATCAGAGGGTGCAGTGGAAAAATTAAATGTTTCATTAAGGGAAATGTGTAATTACTGATGAGCTCCATTGATATGAATAACAGAATCTTCTCTGATACTGAAGTTTGTTTTACTCTCCTCTAAAATTTTCTGTGGGATCTCTAAGTATCAGAAAGTGATACTTGAGCTCAACCTCTGAAATTGTGAGGAAATGCAGCATTTTTCAATGAAGCAATGAACTCTTTTTCATGCATTCTATAAAATATAAACAAACTCCAAAAAGAGTTCTTTTTTACCCCTGTCACTCCTTTTACAACCTGTTCTTAGCCTGCACTGCCTTAGTGTTATTTTTTGGCCAGTGCTTTTGTAACTCACACTTCTCAGTGAAGGAGTGAACTTATTTCAGTAGGCTGCTTTTCCTTAAATCGGCTCTCAGGGAAGTTGGGAAGTGTTTCAGTAGGCTAAGAACATAGAATTTTATTGAATTTTAAGATTCCTTTTCTTCCTGCTGTCTGTGGAAGCTCTGTCTTACAACCAAACCCTTCTTTTCCAGATCTCCTAACCCAGCTGGAAGCAACCAGCTCCCTCACCCCCAGCAGCGAACTCACTAGTCCAGGGCAGAGTGATCTCAGCAACATCGACCTCGTATCCCTGTTTTCCAATGTGTCCAGTAACAATTCTGGAATTACCATGGACATGGCGCTGGTGAACTCTGGAATTGTCACGATCGATGTAGCTTCGGTGGGCTCGACGCTCGGAGGGAACCTGCCTGTCAGTAACAATTCCCTGAACCAGGCAGTGGATCCCTTGATCCTGGTGGCGAGCAGCGACATGCCCCAGAGCCTGGACAGTTCTCTCCTGCTGGGAACCAGTGCAACGGTTCTACAGCAAAGCACTTTAAATTTGGATGATGTACAGACTGTCAATGCCGAAGCCTTGGGTTCCCTGGCATCTCTGTCAGTGAGGAATTCTGGTCAGGATGTGCATGGGTTGACATCCAGCAATAATTTAGCAATAGACACAGCCACTTTGACTCCTTCCAGCAGCCTCGGCAGCACCACTGTGCCTGAGTTACTGACACCAACTAAAGCTGAACGGAATTTGCTTCCCAGCTCAGATGTGGTTGGTCAGCAGGAGGGCAGCAAAGTAGTGACACAGTTTGTGTTCTCCAACCCCCCGGGGAGTTACAGTGCACAGAAGGAAATGGATCTTGGCGCAGTGACTGGCAGCTCATTTTTGGTATGGAGTAACTGTGTTCACCCCTAGATGAGACAGCCTGACCTTGGGGATATCCCTGACTGCTCACACCTTATAGGGAGACCTTCCAGATTTTGCAGATCATGCATTTTGGCTCTCTGTTGATGACAGATGTAGATGGATGTGTTGAGTAGTGTGTTTTCGCAGGTACATTCAGTTCTAAGAAATACTGAAATTCTGGTGGGAACAGTTCAGGAAGAACCTTTCAAAATAAGCAGCTGTCCATCTGAAATAGAATTCGCAAGAACACCCAAGAGTAAACGTTATAAATGTTACATGTTCATTTCATTCCAGGGAAAGATTTGGGCTGTAACAGTAACTGCAGCATTTTCATCCCAGTCCTCATTCCTCAAGTACTTTTCCCTTTCTGCTTCACTGTGTTATTGCAGACTTAACTTTTTGTTTACATTACAAAGTACATGTTTACACTTTTAAAATCTGAACACTTACAAATGGTGGAGCTAACTATTTCTTGTGTTGAACTCCAGATGTTGAATAAATTCACGGAATTTATTGAAACTCTAATCAAAAGATGGGGGAAATTAGAATTCAGTGTTTGCAGCATAGAAGATAACTGCATCTGAGAACTCATTAATCTGTGTTCATTATCTTGTGTTGTTCTTAATTCCAAAAACCTTGCATCTCTGGGTTTTTGTTTTTTTTTTTTTCTTTAAACTAGGAGAGCAGTGGGTCTGCAAGAACAGACTACAGAGCCATTCAGCTGGCCAAGAAAAAGAAACAAAAAGGGAATGGCAGCAGCACAGGTGAGAAGCTATTAATTCTGTTAAATTTACTAAATAAAAATAATTAGTAATTGTGGCAGTGCAGTGGGAACAGGTTTCTGAATAACATTCTTAAATGTCCTACCCTGTGTGTTGATAGTTAAAATAATTATGCATGTGGTGTACCATCTGTTGCTTAGGATAATCACATTATGTGGAATATCAGATTCACAGGAAGTTTACAAAGAAAGCAGTGCCCTATGTTTCATGATTATTAACAAGACATTAGCTGTCCATCTCTTTATCTGCTTCTTATTTTCTTATTAAAACAAAAAATAATGTCACTGTGCTTTCTCTTTATGCTTTTGGTCTTATCCAGGCGTTCTTTCACTCAATACAGACAATGTAAATATCAACTAGATTTTGCTTTGTGTTTCACGTAGTAACAGTGTTAAGGAATTTATTTTTTGATTTTCTAGATGTACTCAAACCTCTCTTATACTTTAGCCTTGCAGGGGGTTCTTGTGCAGGGTGAGTTTAGCCATGATTCCAGATATCTCCTCTTAGTTTGACTCAAAGCCATTTGATGTGAATAATAACCATTCATTTGTCAGATCAAACATGGTTCATGGTTCACTGGACTTGCACAAGCTCAGGTGTTTGAGCTGTGTCTGCCTTTGGGGCTGGGGTAGAATATCATGTTTTTATCAATATCATATATATAGATTGAGTTTAGTGCTGCCTTGCTGTCTCTTAGACCTTCCTTCTCTTACAATCAAGGAGATAGTTTTTGAGGCAGTTTAAGAGACTAGTTCTGATTTGAGACCTGTTTTGTTTGTGTATTTGTAAAATGCACACGTGCATACATTCTGTCTGGTTCACCAAATCATCACATGGAAGGATAAGTGCTTTATGAGGTTAGTTCTGAGGGGCCTTGTATTATCAAACATGTGCATGTATCATCAAACATGTCTTTTGGACATCAGTTTAAAAAATATGATTGCACTTTGCATGACTCCTTAGATGACCTCAGAAAATTCCTGTCTCTATTCCTGTTCAAGATTCTCAATAGTCCACTTTTCACCAGCTGTTGCCTTAATGGTATGCTGTGCTTCTCAAAGTGGTCTAGAGAGTCTTGTATTTCTTATTGGTTTAACTAGATTGAGTGAATACTGTAGAAGGAAGTCCAGTGTTTAAAAATAGGTTATCCAAGCCCTTTGTTTATTACAGATTTTTTTTAAAAATCCAAACAAAAAACTGAAGAGCTGACAGGACTGTATTCTTACATTTGTTTTGATTAGGGTTTTGGCTGTCAGCTCGTGATACAGCAGCTGGTTCATCCTGCTTTAAACTGAAAAAAAACTTAAGGTTGTTATAGTTGTACTTGTGTAGCCTGTTCTATCTAGTAGTCCTTGAAATCTTTCTGTAAATAATGATCTTCACTATGCTTTATTTTACAGTTTAGAAAAATCATGTGCATGACTTCTCGGGAAATGAGTTGCAAAACAAAAAATAGAAAATGCAATCCTACTTCCTAGTTCCTTTCTCTAACACCACAAATAGGCTGATATTTCTGTGCTACCACAGGGGAGGGCCCTAGGCCTAGCAGTGATTTTTCAATGGTGTTTGTGTAAGAAGGTGCTCAGTCAGCAGCTGGAGTTCACCAACTGAGTGTTCTCTGGCCTTTTAGCCAGAGATGTTAGATGGTGCTTAATTATGTTGCACTGTTGTGGGCATTTGCTGTGTGGTACATAGAGCTGCTAAAAGTTGAAAAATACTAGCAGAAAACCTTGGCAAATTCTTCCTGACCATCTAAATATTAAAACTGCTTTCTTTTAGGGGCATCTGGCTCTGGGCAGAGGAAAAACAAGGGTGGTAAAGTAAGCCCTACCAACTTTTCTTCATCTGCTCCTGGCGGTCGAGTGGGTGGTAACATAGTTCTGCCAAATGGAGGGCTGACAATAAGGGACCCTGCCACTGGAGCCCAGTATGTGCAAATTCAGCTTCTTCAGGTAAGAGCTGAGGAGGAAAAAAAAAATGTACTCAATTTCTCTGTTATCCAGACTCACATTTATGGAAGAATTTGAGTGTTTGTGAACTCAGGTACTACTGTCCCTGGATGGGATCTTGAGCTCTGCAGTATTCTTACATTATTCCATGCCTTATTTACAGAGTAAATGAGATGGACATGAAAATGTTTCTGCAAAAAGAAGTTTCAGCCTAAACTGTTATTTCTCTTATCCAATGAAATAAAGCTTATAATTGAAAAAAAAAAAACAACAAAACAACAAAACCTAATAATTGGTGGACACTGATTAATGGAGCATGGCAGATAATATGTTTTTTTGCCAGGTGTATCTGTGTAGTATTCAGAGAAAGGGTAAATTCCTTCTCCTTTATTCCTAGCAACTCTGGTGTGGAGAAACCTATGGGCAGATTTCTCCATGGATCTATTTTTTGATGGATATTTCATGTTAAATATCAGCTTCATGAAAACATGATGAAAATTGTGTGTTTCTTTCTGGGTGTTAGATTCGTTGAAAGAGGACCATTCCTTTCTGTTCAGATCTTGCCAGTGTTCCAAGTTGATGAGGACAGGATAATATGCTGTACATTGAGCTAGGTTTAGATTTAAGTTGTAGTTAGCTTTCCACATCTTTGTGGAGTTAGGCCTTACTAGTACAGTGCAGTGGCTTTATCAGATATTTTAAGATTGTGGGGCTGAATGAAATTTGTCATATTGTGCTGAGATACCAGGGGTTGTGTAATTTCATCATCTTTCTGCATTCACAGGATGATTCCCCAGGAGAGGGAGATCTTCCCTTTCAGCTGAGCTCTCAGTCTTCTTCATCACATTCTCAGCTTACAGTGGATTTACCTGTTCACATACTTCAGGTACAGCATGTCAAGCCACTGGGTTTTATTGCCTTGCTTGAAAGTAAAGAGTGTGAGCACTCTCATGTTCTGCCTGATGAAAACACCTTGTTTTCCATTGGGGATTGAATTCCATTCACAAGGAATAGTAAGCAGAGAGCTGCACTGCACGATTTATCTTGTGTCTGTTACCAACCTTTGGCACATCAGAGGTTGTTTTTTTTTCCTCTGTTGCTGAGTAATGAAAAACTAAGTGTTACTATTTTTTTCCGAAACGCCCCACCCTTGTTTTCCTGATCCCATCCTGCAGATACTAGGTGGGTCAAGAAACAGGATCAGAATTGGAATGTTGGAGGCTACAGGAGGGGTGAGAAGTAGGAAATAGAATCTTGAAGCTAGATTTTAGAGTGGTACCCTTATGGGAGTGTCAGTTATGTTTAAAAGCCTGCCTGCTTGGGGACCTCATTTTTTATAAACTCTGCAGTGTACCTATTCCTGCCAAGTGTCCTTCTCCTGGATAGAAAATAAACCTTTTTTATTAAGGAGGGGCACCTTCCTCAAAACCTAGAAGTACAAGAGGAGTGGGACTGTTGGCCATGGTAGGGAACTAATGGAGGAAAAAGTGATTTTAAATCTATTTCCATTAGTAATGCTCATCTGAAGTGTTCCATAGAAAAACTGTAGATAGATCTCCACTGTTTGGGTGGACCTCTGAAGTGGAAAAGCTTTGGGTTTCCTCTGAGCCATTCCAAGCATTTCTCTGGTGTTGGATAAATGTCAAGAAAATCTTGCTGATAAGCACTGAAATCATCTAGAGGTGAAAGTACTTTATGCTGTCTGTTTGCTTTTACAGGAACCACATAATTCCACTGAAGATGATGCAGGTTCTGATAACTCTCAGTTCACTGGAAGCACAATAAATTTACAGGATCTGGAATGATGATTATTATGAACAGTTACTTGAAAACAAGTTGAGCAATCATGACAGAGTGAGATTACTGTGTGGATCTTTTTCCAAGGAAAATATGAAAAGTAGGAGAACTGAAGTATGGTTGCACTCTTTGTGATTTGCTTAAGACAGTTGCAGGTGAAAGATTTTCTTTAAAAATGTAAATCCCACTTGATGTGCCTGTGTAAGATACCCTGTCTGCCTGGTGGTTGGGAGGCTGAGGCAGACTGCTGTACAGTGTTGTTTCAGGGAGAAGTACTTTATTACACTTCAAACTGAGGTAATATTTACTGTTTTCACAGGAAAGCAAGTATTCTACAGCTAACAAGTGCAAATTTATAATCCTGCCTATGAAAGTTAAAACTGTCCTTCCATTGGTCTCCTCCTGGAGCCAGTGCATCAAGGAGTTAAGAGCTAAATTTTGCAGGTGTTTTCAACACACAGAAAAAAGGATTGTTACGGCCCCTGTGTTTGGCAGAAAACCGGAATAAAGTGTCACATGTAACAGAGTTAATGTTCTATGCCATGAAAATGAGATGCTCTAAAATCTTTGTTTTAGAAAGCTAGATTCTAAATGTTAACTTAGCTGTGAATCAGTTTGTAGCTCATGTTGAGTTTCTCCCTTTCCTTGCTCCTGCATCCTAAATACTTTGCTGAATTCTTCCAGCAAAACTTGAAAAAGAAAACTGCAATAGAACTGTACTCACTGTAAGTGATTAGCTAAGAGTCCAACAGCATCTGAGAGAGGTTTGTTTTATCTTTGTGTTCCCTTTTTTGGGAGGAATGTTGACTGTCATGTAAATTTAAGCACCTTGATTTTTATCTCATCTATAAACCGCTGCCAAGTTACCTGTCAACTGGTCACTACCTTTTTATTTAGGGTTGTTTGGTGTTTTTGTTTTGCTAATTGAACACATGTTAGCCCATGTTCTTTATTGCTATCCCAGAGTGTCACATATACCTGGAGCTTCTGGCTGGTTTACAAAAAATGCAGTTGTCAGAGTATTTTGTGAGGGGGAAAGAATTGTTGCCCAGGAACATTTGCCCCTGAAAAACTGCAGTTTCTCTTGGGGGTGGGGGAGAGGTTGTATGTACTCTACTTACCAGTATACACCTAAATAAATAAGTAAAGGGTTGTATAGGGAAAAAAACCACCTTTGGTTACGTTTTAAGGTAGTAATTTAAATGTTTCCTATGGTGATGTTCTGAATGCCTGTAAAAGTATGTATAGGAGTTTGATAAAAGGCTGTTTGTACTTTTTTTTTTATTCTCAGTGAGGTGTGTGTATGCACGTATGTGTATTTACCTTTTTTTTTTTTTTTACAAAATGAGATATGTCACAGAGGAGAACGTTGTGATCTTTTTAAACTTGCACATATTTATTTATTTTACAGTTATACTGATGTTAAATTCACATGAGGTCATTCAGAAATGCTTTTACTTCCTGTGCCTTTTGAACTATGTATGTGTCCATATAAATGCTTTTTTGACTGCAGACTTGGGGAGGAAAAAAGCATACAAGTTACAATGAACTTCAGCTCCTGATTTTTAGGCAGTATTATATCTCTGGTTGAACCAGCTTTATTTTTCTATCTTTAGCCTAACTGAGCATTGAGGTCTCTCTGTTCCTCTCACTCTGAGTTTACAGCTTACATCCAGGGAAAGTCTGAACCCTCTCAGGCTGGGTTTTCAGACCACCTGGTAGCTGAGATCTACCTGGTGGCTGTGACTGCAGCCTGGAGTCCACTCCTGAGAGGTGGAAGGATTGAGGAGGAATTGTGCTGAAGGGTCTTGCTCTAGTGCTCACCGTGCTCTCCCTGGAAGCTGAGACACCTTGAGCTCCCAATGCCTGCATTATTCTGTTCTCAAGGACCATACCAGTTTGTAATCTTATTAAAATGGCCAAGGAGCACTCCATCTTTTTATGGGACTTGCAACCAAATCTTTCTACTTCTGAAAATGTACCTCACTCAGCTTTGTAAGTGAATGTAAAGTGCTAACCTCTTGAGGGCGGAAACTTGGATCACTTGGCTTGGGCTCCATTGCTGGCAATGGATACCTGAAGAACTGCTGGTGCAAAAGGGTTAATAAAGCTTTTTTTTTTATGGTCAGTTTGTCACTGGGTATTGTTCTTTGCATGGATGCATCTGACACAAAGCTAATTACTGGCAGCTTGATTTCTGTGGAGAGCTTGTGTTTTTCCTTTGGTTGTGTCTTATCCACTGTAGTGAAGTCAATAATGGCTTTGGATTGGAGCATAGTCCTTGGATTTTACAGTCCTTCAGAAGACCTATGAGTATCACAAATGACTGTGAGGTACCTGGCTTAGTTGTGCCTTAACAAAGATTGTCACCTAGAACTCTCACAGATCTCACTGTTCAGGCTTGTAGGCATAGTGCTATTTGCATCAAAAACTGAATGAGAAAAGCATTGGTGCTTAGCAGGAGCTTGAGAAGCAAAATGAGAGATTTTTTATTTATTTTATTAAGCAAAATAGCTAAGGAGGGGAAAAGGGGTTGCAAACTTTCACTAGAATCTTAGGGTAGGAGAAGCAGGAAATTTCATGGGACAGTAGAGTTCAGCTGAACAAAGACTGACAGAATGTAGATCTACAAAAGACTGCATCAGCAGCCCTATGAGCTGTGGTTAAGGCTATGCCATCAGGAGAAATAATATGATTATTCTTCCTTTTTATCTTTTTCCTTGGCTGTTCTCCTTCCTGGCAGTTGGGTTGGAAGGCAAGGCCATGGTCTTGAAGTTCTGCAGAGGAAGAGGTGCTGCATCAGTGTTCAGTAGGGTGTCTGAGCAGGCAGCTAAAGCTGCTCTGTGCTGCCAGGCTGGGAGGGGCTGTGCCCTGTGCTCTAGGCTGGCTGCTGAGTGTGCTTTCTGTATTGGAAAGTGAATGTCAAGCGCCTGAAGGCTGTCTGTGTGCTCCTGCTTCAGCTTCCACAACTCACTGTTGTACCTACAACTGCTTTCTGACTAAAGCCTCATTAGTCCTGTGTCAGGAAGAGGAGGGAAAGTTGGAGATCCAAAGGAATATTGGAGGCTACAGAGCCCTCTGTTTTCTCTTGGCTAAAGGGGCAGGGGCTCGTGGCCCCTGCTCTCATGTCACCTGTGCTGTCACTGTGACAGAACCGGGGTCTCCTCACAGCTGTGTTGGCCTGGGGAAGATGCAACAGAAGCCATGGCAGAAGCTCTGCACTGAGCCTCCCAAGGGGCCAGAGCTCAGTTTGGGAGGATATGGAACATGCCAGAAAAGGTGTAGTTTGATGGTATGGCTGAGCTGATCTAGGGCCTTGCTGCTGTTATCAGGAGTGTTGTGCTGCTGCCCAGTTCCTCATTTGCCAATTTTCATGCTTGGTTTAATACAACTAAGCTAAAGAGTCTCAATAAGCTTGCCAGAGAGCTGGCAAGTAGTGGAGGGGGCTGTGTGCTTGAGAGAAGGATGATGGAAGGACACTGAGCTGGAATAAAAAAAAGTGACTGACTTCCCAGCACTGGCTTAAGTTACATCACTCCTGTAAATTGGGCTACACCTGGCTGTAGGTGCCATCCTCACAAGGCTGTAGGGGCCCCTTAATAACACTTCTCCCTCAAGCACTTGATATTTGGGTACCCTCAGCTTCTCCAACATGAGCTGTTGAGGTGAGATTTTTCTACAGACCACTGCACTTACCTTTTTTTCTTCTTGTGATCTTTCCATGTCCCTTTTCAATCCTTCATCCTGCTGCTGCTTTGCTTGTTTCTGCTTTTCCTCTCTCAGCCTTTTGAAGAGAGAATAAAGGATGGGTTAAATGCAACATGCAGCTACATCAGCTGTGCTTTTGACACACAGCATCAAGATCGAAGATAACATCTTACATCACACCTTACATCTAACTGTTGGAGCACAGGGGTTTGGGTACACCTGCTGCTGGAGTTGGTTGCTGTGAAGGGGGGGTAAGAGGGAAGCACTGCCTGCAGTTGATCCTACTCTTTCTGGTGTGATGGGTGGAAAAAGCCTGTCAGGCTTTGACACAGATGTGAGACAGCTGTTCTATCAGACATGCTCTGCACCCCCTTCAGCAGGTGACTTACGCCCTGCAGTTGACCAGGATGCTCACCAGCTGTGGGGAGGGAGGAAGCCTGTTGTACCCCCAGGTCTGTAACACACAGGTGTGAGCAGCAGGCTCTTACACCCATGGAGCTACACTTGGCCCACAGGGGCACAGTGGAGGCCAATACTGTTGCTCCAGTTCCTTATGAAAATGAAGTGCTTGAACAGAAATGGGCTCAAGCTATAGAACACTGGTGCAGAGGAACTGCAGTCTTAACCGTGCAAACTTGAGGAAAACATTTAATGTTCTTTGTAGGGTTTGTTGTGTTTTGGTTTTGGTGTTTTTATTAGTGTTTTTGATTTTTATTTGGGAGTAGGGTGTGTGGTATCTTTCTTGAATTATTCTTTTCCATCCCCATGTGTGTCTTACTTATTTTGCAATTTAAGAGTACAAACCCATTCGGAGAACATCAGGAAGATGCACCATACCTTTTCTACTACACAGGTGAATAAAGATGCAGAGAAAGAGAATAATAGAAGCAAATTGTCACTGTTCTGGCTTTAAATCCTTATGCTAATCTGTCTGATTCACTTGAGGATGACCAGATACAGTTATCAGTTAATTATCTTTGTTACTTGTGAGGTAAAATTTTGTGTAACTGGGCCTACAGGATTGTGTCTCATCTTGAGACTTGCACTTTTGATTGAGTTAATTTTGATCGAGTTAATTGTTACTATTTAATCTAGTAATACAAGTTAAACTTAAAAGTTTTGTAGAAGAAACATTTCAAAGCTGGAGTTGTTGATAACTGCCCTTATGTACATATTAAAGTCTGACAAAATATCAGGGCAAGGAAGACTGTGTTAACTTGAGATTTAATTTATTACCTATTCTGTTTAAATTTTGTTATTGTAAATTGTTTTCTTAAAATGATGAGTCTTATCATGGAATCTGTTTTTGTTTGTGGGTGTAGTATTTTTTATTCTTCTAGATTTTTCTACTGTAGTTTGCAGGTCTTTTCTAATGTAGCTGTGTGCTGCTGCTTATTGACAAGGAAATACAAGTACTGTGAGCACAGATCCCTTACAGAAGTAAAATTGGATGGATTGCTCACATGGGATTTCAGATTGCTGCTACAGTTTTTTGGGTTGATTTGGCTCTTTCAGCTGTCAACACTTAAAATAGAGATGATTTCCAAAAGAGGGTCTTGCCTTACCTTGCCCTCTGTTCCTTTCTTATGGCTTTCACAGCCTTTTCTATCCTTGCTGGTGGGATTCTCTCCACACTGTCCAGTAAATCGTTGAGCTGTTTTTCTATTACCTTTAACATCTCTACTGTTGGCATGTTTGTCTCATTGTCTCCAGTGCAGTGGACATAGACTTCCAGCACCTTCTTGTTCAGGCTTGTGAGCATTTTGTCCTAGAGGTGACAGGAGATACATGAGTGGCACAGCTGGGTTCTGCCAAGTAGAACCGTAATATCCCTCCAAAACCAAAGCAAATCTGTAAAGGAAATACTTTAATCCTCTCAATAAGATTTAATTGCTTGTCTCCTGGTTGACTAAAGACAGTGGCAGGGACAGATGGTCAAACTGAGCATTCTCCTGTTGGTCTCATCTTCCCAGCTGTCTCTGTGAGCCCTGCTCCCAGCTTGCAGCAGCTGCACAGAGCACACAGGTTTGCCCCAGTTTGCTGCCAAAGCAGCCTTGCTATGGCTGCATTGCTGGGAAACAGTGCTGATCCCTGCTCAGTGCAAGCCCTGTCTGCTCTGTTCCCGGGATGGATGTGGCTGGTGGAGAGGAACCCCTTGTGCACCTGTGAACCCCCCTTGCTGGATCCCAGCGTGTACCTGGTAATCAGCTTCGTGTTCTCCAGAGGAAAAGCGCTGAACTTTGAGCTTCAGGTCGGCTGCTTTCTCTTCTTCCTTGTCAACGGAGGCTTGGAGGGTGTTCACCTGCTCTTTCAGCTCTGCCAACTCCTTCTCCCTAGGGGAGAGAGGGAAAGGAGGTGTTTGGGAAGGGCACCTCTGGAACACACGGCTCTGCTCTCTGCAGCCTGGGCTGGTCCCTCGTGCTGCCGGCAGATGGAGGTAACACTTCAGCCTTTCCTTGCACCCACAGCCCTGAAAGCACAGGGAGCTTCGGGTTTTTTTTCTAGAAAAGCAGTTACTGGGCTGGTGTGGGGGTGGGAGAAGTAGCATCGCTAAACATTCCAAGTTTTTTAGTAAGTCAGTGGGGGATCCAGATTACCTTTAAAACTTCCACAAGTAAATAAGATACATTTTAAATGGGAATATATCTGTCTACCTGCCACTGAAATTGTAGATTATAATGACACTTGGGTTCCCTGCTGTCTTCCTCTAGGAGGGTTTTGCACTGAGTCAGCATTGGTGCTGCTCTGGATCACTCCAGGAATTGCCTTGTTTCTTTCTTTGGTCTTCCTTCATGAGAATTACACTATACCTATATTCACTCCAGGATGCTTAATGCATCATTCCCTAGCCTGTGTTTTGAGGACTAAGGAATTAGTCCCAAGCTGAAGTCTCATCTCCTAAGTTAAGCATATATGGGACCCTTTCCCAGGAGCTCACAAGAAAGACCCTGCTGTGTGAACAGCATTACGTGTGCTCTGCGGTGTCTGCCTGACGGTGAGGTGTCTGTGGGGGCAGAGGGGTCACTTATGTCTGAAACCTGGAGCACTGGGACCCCTTCCCATCACTTGCAGGGTCACACTTACATGTTTTCATGTGTGGTGATGAAAGTCTGTTGGACCTTGTTCCAACTCTCTGCAATATCCTGGGAGTTCAGCACGAAGGATAAGTTCTCATCCAGCATCTCCATGAAAGTAACCAGCAGTTGTTCAGGATCAGTAAAGTAAAGCTCAGGCTCCTACAGTGGAAAACACGTGTGATGAGTTTTTTCTCTCCTCTATCCTCTGTTCCACTGAACTACAGGGAGGTTGGTCTGTACCAGCCCTGGCTGTTCAAACCCTCTTCCACCTAGAGAGGTCCACATTTGTCCCTGTAAAAACATACATGAACATCCTTCCTGCTAAGTGTGTAGCTTAATTCTGCCTCAATAGCTCACCCCCTAAACAAATTGCATGTTGAGGGGTAAAAAATGTTGCAAATATCTGTGAGTGGGAAGACTTCAATTTCAGACATAAACCAGTAACTGGAGTAATTTAAAAATCCTTCATTTTATGATGCCATATCTCCCTGGAGGATGACAAGCTTAGAGATGATGGTAGGTTTTTGGAAACTGAAGGAGGAAAGTTAAACTAAGATATTTATAATGCATTGCCAAAATGTGAACTTTTATGATTGTACAAACATACATTTATAATTTGTAACTACAGTAACTCCTCAATACTATAACTAATGGTTAGAAGGTGAGGGAAATTAGTAATACTGATAAATGACACAGGACAATCAGAAAATGCAAATATTTCAACATAAGACTTCTGACCTCATCTTCATCCGAGCTGCTTTCACTCTCTGCATCCTCCAATGAACTTCTGAAAAAGTATTTTGTGTGTTAGGCCCTTAGAGAAGTGACAGCTCAGGAGAAATCTCATTAGTGACATATGAACATTGTTACTGTTCACTGTCTCTGTTTACTCCTGACCAGTCCTTTGCACGTTCACACCTTTGCCGCCCTGTGGCTTATTTGTGGGTCAGGAAGGTCTAGGGGTCACACGAGCAAGCAGCACAGGAGCCACTTTGTGTCCATGAGCAGGCTGCCTTTTGTGCTGCTCTGGGCTGTGCTGCTGCTCCTGTGGGGCTGGAACATGACACATGAACCTGAACCGAGGGTGTTGATCCAGATGCCTTTAAACTCACTGGGAGACTTTGTTGAATGCTTCTCCCTCAACACAAGAGCTGGAAGAGGGAGAACTGGTGCCTTGTTGCTGTTGGCAGCTCAGTCTGCTCATCACTTTTACTTGTGCCTGTCACCCTGTGCCATGAAGGGTAAAAACCTCTGTTTGCATCGTCTTAGTGACTGCCCCACTTGGGGCAGGCTCTCAGCAGAGGATTTGAGGATGGAGCTCACTTGGAGCAGGTACTGACTTGTACCTGACAGCTTTTTGCTGGTGTCTGACTTTGTTCCAGTAAGCCCCAGATCTTGGAATGCCCAGCAAAGGTGAGCAGTAGGATTTCCCTGTGCTGATCCCCAGTCAGCTGAGTGCTCTTTACAGTCCTTAAGTCTGTTGTTTACATCATCTGGTACTTACAGGTCTCTTGATAAAAGAGGCTTCAGGAAGTGTTTAAGCTGTGGCCTGACATCACGTGACCTGAAATCCAAACTTTCTGAGAACAGCAGGGAACTTGGCATATCCGTGAAACTGGTGCCATGGGCAGTGTTTGTCCTGCCTGTCGGATCCTGGTCTGGAGACAAGCGGAGGAGTCCACTTAGAGCCTGGGGCTGTCCCAGGGGGGAGCAGCAGCACTTTCCTGGCACTTACCCTGCTCTGCAGTGGGGGCAGGTGAAGCACTTCCTTTAATTTTGGATTCTGTTCTCATATCCTTTTCTTTTTTGTGTTTTTTTCTGTGTTCCTCCTGCCACTCTTTTGGAGATAGCTGGTAGAGGATGTCCCGATACATCTTGTAATCCTGCAGAGTGTCCTTGAATCTGGAGATATCACTGGGTTGAGAGAAGTGGACAAAGTTTGTTAGCAGGGAGGGAAGCTCCTGTTTGAACAGGTTCTTTTTCGCTCTTGATAATTGAGTTTCATCCAGAGAAAGGGAGAGGGGGCACATGTTTTCATGGACATGCAAAGGCAGAAGGGAACCTGCGCTCTGTGCTCTCTGTGGTTTCTCATGTGGAAACTCAGAATCAGTCATATTCCCTGGTCACATCTCTTGCTATGGTACTGAGCTTGCTAATTTTTGAATTTTTACTTGAAAAGGAATGAGAAATTTTTCCAGCTCAACTCGTAACGGTAATTATAGTTAGATCCCCATTAAAATGCATTACTTAGTTTTGTTCGGATTTTAATATCATGTTAGGCATTTAATTTTGGATTTGGAACATTTATACTTTTTTTAAAATGTCATTAGAAAACTAGATGAGTTGTTTTAGAAACAAAGGCAGCATCTGGAAAACAAAAGCCAAAACATTTTGACTCTCAAAATGGAATATTTTTCAAAATCAATCCCCTGTAAGGACTGTGAAGTTATCGCACTGTAGGGGCTGTTAAAGGTGAGGCAGGAGTAATGAGCAATGTTACCTTTGTATTTTCTTTATTTCGGTAGTGATTCCCTGGATCTCTGTTATTTTCTTTGTCTTTGCTGAGGTTTCTCTTTTGGCTCTAGGAAAGGATGTACAAACAAGCCATTAAACAATCTAGTAGTGAGTAGTGAATTGAGGTGGCCAGTAACAGTGAAAAAGGTGTGATATGAGCCCTGGAAATCTGTGTTACAGATGTATTCCAGGAGATGCTTGGCTCCTGCCTGAAGATTCTTGGAAAAGTAGGGCATCCCAGTGTTTGGGCCTCCCTAATGTGGCTGCTACTGAGCATCAGTTGCAGCTCTGCCCTTGTGAGGTAATGGGCCAAAGTGCTCAATTTGCTTCACTGAGGGGGCTGTGAGGGGTTGGGTAGAGGCATCTCCCTCCAGTAAAGGGTGTTGTGAGAAGAATGGAAGTGGTGGAGCCACCAGCAGGTTCCTTGCTGCTACCAGATCAAGGGCTTTTGCAATGAGGGTATTCCCTGGATGTTGTTCTCCTTCCTCTTTTATTGAATGTGTGGGAAGAAAGTGCCACCAGAACTGTAACTCTGGGAAACTCAGTGTTCAGCCAAAACCCTGCAGGGAGGTCAAGCAGCAAATCTCCAGTGCCCAGAATGAAATAGCACACAGGTGGTTCCTTCAATGTTCCTTACATTCTCAGTGCTTCCACAGAGCTATTATGGTTCTCCTTCAGGAACTCATCAAACATGGCAGCATCCTTCTCCATTCTTCTCTCAGCCTTTTCCAGTTTTTTTTCCTCGTTCTTTGCTATGTTCTCCATCTTTTCAATCTCCCCTCGCTTTACTGCAATGGCATGCTGAAATGAGCCCCAAAGGCAACACAGCCACATCAGTTGGTTGGTTTGAGAGGTACATTGGTTTAGCTTTGTACCTGGCTACCAAATTACCTGATAGCTGTGGGCAGAGAGGGTAAGGATTTCAAACCCAGGTGTGTGACTTAGTGCAAGCCAGGTACATGGAGGCCAGGAGTTACATCAGAAGGAACATAGCAAATAAGCAGTGAATCTAAAGACAGAATTCAGAAGTCCCAGCTCTGCATTAACTCCTGGCTGACCAAGATTGATTCAGTTGTGTTACAGCACAGTAATAGAGATGGCTAATGGGAATATTTGAGCACAGTTAGTCCACTCCCTTATTTTGAGTTCAGAATGGCTCCTTCAACTACAATTTATGTATAGGACAGCAGGAGCCAAAGATCAGTGTATCTGTGCATCTCACAAATGGAATAGGTTCATGGTGGCTACTGAATGATGGGAATGATCTACATTCCTTTATTTCTTGGCTGGGAACTACTTGGCTACAGATTCTGAGTGACTGTAACACAGGACTTGGACAGTCAGTTCATGAGGTCTGGTGTGTGCCACCTTGGAAAGATCTCTAGGCAGTGGATCTCGGGAGAGTAAGCATCAAAACAAAGCAACACAGGGAAAAGTAATTAAATGAACAGAAAGTAACATGCTGAAAGCCATATACCTCAAGAAAAAAGATCTGTTTTCTGTCCTGTAGGTAGCCATGGAAGGTCTCCCTGTCTAATGCATAATCTGAAATTAAAATATAAGGTTGCTTAGACTAGAGAGGCAGAAATGTGGCCAACGCAAAAAACACAATGAATATATAGGCTGCCATGAGCATGGATCTGGCTGGTGCTGGAGTCAGCAATACTGATTATTGTATTATAGTTATAACCTTGTTTAGGATCAGTTTCACGTGGGTTTTCATGGAGTAAAACCAGGGAGAATGGAGTGGAGAATCTGGTCCTTATCCTCTATATGTTAATGGCAAATCTACTCCTCATGTCAGAGGCAGAAAGTATCCATTAAAAACCAACTTTAGGTTGGCTTAGTAGAAAGGTTTCCACTATAAAAGATCCTGCAAAACCTCAACTGGCTATCAGCTCAGCTGCTGCAAGGCTGGTGGAAGCCAGGCCACTGTGAGGGGGTGGCCCACGTAAATGGCTCTGTGTGTAAATGCCTGAGCTGGAGATGGCTCTGCCACACAGAGGTGGGCAAGATAGAGCACAGAACTGTCTGTCTGTCTGCATGACCTCACCAAAGTCAGCCAGAGCCAGCTGCTCCACCCATCCCCTCTTTGGCCTTTGCTTTAGGCTGTTACCCAGCACCTCTGCAAAGACAGAGCCTGGTCCTCACCTTTTTTCATGCCTAACTTCCGTGAGAGCAGCTCCTGAAGAACTTCCAGTCTCTCTTCACATGTCGCCTCTTTTCTGCCTTCTTCTTCTTCCTCCCTTTTCAAAGTTTTCCTCAAACTGCTTTTTGCCTTCATTTTTGTGGAATAAGTAGTTTTCTCATGGACTTTCATAGTCTTCCTCTTTTCACGTTCCTGTGAGAAGTCAGATATGTGTACAGTTTGATCCTGTGCTTTGTTTGCTGTGGTTTTTAAAGACATGAATTAGTTATTGACAGCCTAGAAATTTGCAGAGTGGTGATACCCTGCTGATGCATATTTGCCTGGTTTATGTGACTAATCCAAATAATATTCCCTCTTGAGGCAACTGAAACACTAAATTTCTTAGCCCTTGCTGTCATTGTTTTGTTGATTTGTATTCTTCACCCTTCCACCAGCTGTGCCAGTATGTACCCACTCAGTGTCCTCATTTTTCCTTCTTGGGTTATTCCTGTGAGCAAATGGAAATTTTCTGAGATTCATCCTTTGAGTCCCCTGGTTAAAGGGGGACAGCTCACACTTAACTAACTCAATCCAACTTTTACAAAGACATTTTAAACCATTAAGTTCAGATTGAGAGGATCTATTCAAATCCACACCAGAACCTTCTGGAGGGTAAAAGGTGTTCCTGCTCAGTTCTTTCACATGGACTGAAGTGTAATTCAGTGCTGTCTGCAGAGTTTGGGCCCGGTTTATGTTGAGGACATCACCCAGCAGACATTCTTAGTGCACTGCTTCCTAAGCTTTTCCCCATAATTGTACAGTGACCTTCAACCCAAGCAGAAACCAGACTGTATCAGTCACCAGTGTGAGGTGAGGTCTTGCTTTAGACTTCTTGCTTCCTTCCACACCATGTGTATGCTGTGCACCCCACGCAACAATCTGACCTCTCAGAGATCACAGAATCACAGAAAGGGTTGGAACCTTAGGGATCATTTAGTTCCAACCCCCTGCCATGAATAGACCAGGCTGCTCAGAGCCTCGCCCAACCTGGCCTTGAACAGGTCCAGGGATGGGGCATCCAAAACATCCTTGAGCAACCTGTGCTAGTGTCTCACCACTCTCACAGTAAAGAATTTCTTCCTAACATCTAATCTAAATCTTTCCTATTTTAGTTTAAATCTACTCCTCCTTGTTCTATCACAATCTGCTTGTGTAAAAAGTTGCTCTTTTTTTATAAGCACATTTTAAGTACTGAAAGGTCACAATCAGGTCTCCCTAGAGCATTCTCTTCTCCAGGCTGAACATCCACAGCTTTCTCATCTTTGATCTCTCATGTGCTAAATTTTGGTATTCTGTTGGGTGGGTGCCTGCCTTAGTAACTGCTTGTTACATAGTTCAGCCTAAAGCATGTGTACATACCACTTCTGCCTTCTTAATGTCCTTGTCCCTCATTGAGAAAAATTCAGTATCTGGTGGGACTTTAAATGGATTTTTCATTGCGTTTTCTTCATCCTCTTCTGTGCCTTCTAGAGGAAAAAAAAAACAAAACAAAAAAAACCAAAAACAAAACCAGAAAAAACCCCAGGATGAGGATGTAGAAGATGTGAAGCTGAATTTCTGGACCCAGTGCAAAGGGAGTGGGATGTGCTGTGTCACACCTGGAGTGTGGGCAGTGCTCCCAGCTGCAGATGTCTAACAGTGCTGGATCAAGAGCAGGGAGCTGGATGGGGCCTCTGAGAAGCCAGTGATAAAAGTGAGACCTCTGTATGTTTATGTCATTTGACCATATCTGGTGATCAACAACAGCATTTCAGCCAGGGATTTTTGTAAGTCTGTAGCTATTTTACCCATTTCATCTGTTTTGGGGCAGAAGAACCTGACTTCAGGCTCCTCACCTGACAAGGAAACATTGCTGGAGCATTGTGTCCTTACCTGACAGCGTAAGGTGGGTTTCCATTTCAAGTTTGGAAGAGAGACTTTTAGATGTTGCTGTTGTATGTCACGATGGTGTCTTTGACCCTGGCCCAAAGAAAATCATAAACAAATCAGTCAGCTGGGATCTGCCAGTAACTGAAGTGATAAGTTTCACAGCAGTGATAGGCCTAGGGGCTTTCTGTATCTTAGCCACTGAGCCTTTAGTGTCTGTGGTAATTCACAAAGAGCTCCATTAAACTGGAAAACATATATGTTCTGACCTCCAAAAGATTTTCATCCCTGCCTCACATGTAGGCTGTGTGAAACACAGCCTCCTTACACGTAAACTGATGGGAAAGCAACAACAAAACAAATTTGGAGATAGCAAGCAACCCAAGTCCCTTGTCTCTTTTTCCACCCAGTCACCAGTTCTGGTCCACACCCATGTTTTTCATCCTTCTGTCACTAGTTCACAAGCTACATTTTTACTCACTAAAGCTCTTCCCAGTAATTGCTTCAGCATTGTGGATTTCTTGCAATAAGCCTGAATGATTGTTGGACAGCACAGACACACTTTACAGAGCTCTGTTGCCTTTCATTTTAGGTTGGCAAACTGTTGAAGGTTATTTTTTTGTTTCTCTGACTCCAGTCTTTTTGTAGTTTTTGCTATGGATCCTAAGGGACAAGGCATAATTGGAATGATCTCACTTACAAAGAACAGATAGACCATTGTTAAAGCTATCCTTTAATCACCAAAGGCAGCAAGCTGGGCTCAGCGAGGTATTAGTTCAATTGATGCAATTCTGCTGCTGGCACCATTCCTGATCTGCACTGCTATAAGACGCTGTAGAAAATATCCTCTTCTGCTTGCACTACTTTTAGGCTATTTTAGAGCATCAGTTTTTGCTCTGAACAGCCTCCAGTTTTTATGTATTTTTTGCTAAACTCATCTGGCCTAATTTCCATGTCTGTCCTTGGTGTTTTCTCTGCAGCTGCCCAATTAGTACCTTATTCTTTGGAGGTGTCAAACTTTCACTGCTGATGAGACACAGAGGCTGAGTAGAATTTAGGCTTTTGAATATATCCCAAATATTTTCTCTCTCCTTTTCAGTTCTTGAGGTACATTTTACCAAGTACCTCCTTGACTCTAAGGAGTTCAAACCTCTGTGACCTTTGCTTAATGTAAGGGAATATTTTTCTCTAGGCATCTCTCATCTATGTCCTGGAACAACATCACCCCTGCTGCTGATGTGAGTTTTGGAGAAAGCCCCGGCAGGGCAGGGGTGGGCAGGCAGTTGAATTACAGTTTGTGAATCTTGCAGAGCAGTTGCAGCAAACACCTGGAGCTTCAGCCCTCCGTGCACACCCTGATTTCTGCAATCTAAAACCTTTCTCACAAGAATTTTCTTGTTCCTATGGTTGATTTAAATTCCTCCTACAGGCAATGAGTCTGAAAAGCAGGACTAGACACTGGTATATGGAAAATAATTGTCAGTGCAACCCTCAGAGATAGAAAGTGCTTTATAATATAATTTTAGCTAAATATAGGAAACTGTGTCTATAATTAACTTATAAATATTCATTTTATTAAGGTAATTTTTTGTTTGAGGTTGCTGGTTTTTTTATAAGTTGTTTGCACAGCACTTTGGAAATAATGCCAAAAGCTACAGAAGCACTAGCTCTGCTAATTTATAATTATTAAGCTCAATAAAGCAAATAAAAAATGCTTCATTGCTAGAATAATTTGGCATATATTTCACTGCCTCTGACATTATGTTCCAGTAGCTGGGTACCCATAGTACGTGAATCAATAGATTAAGCATTCATGATTTTAATTCACTGAAACCTTTATTCAGTGCTTTTCCCTAACGTCAGGCTGCTGAGCAAAAAACAAAACAGAACCACAAAATAACCCCACCAAACAAACAAACAAACAAACAAAAAAGCAACAACAAAACAGAACCAAACCCCCAAAAACCAATCAACCAAGCAAAAAGCCAAACAAAAGAACCCCAACCAACCACGGAAACCAAACAAAACGAACCCCCGTAAAACAAAAGGAAAAGCCAACAAAACAAACCCCCGTAAAACAAAAGGAAAAGCCGAATCTGCGGCCCTGTGTCGGGTGTGGGGCAGAGGTGTGGGTACCCCATATCAGGTGTGGGGACAGAGGTGTGGGTGCCCCATGTCGGGTGTGGGGCAGAGGTGTGGGTGCCCCATATCGGGTGTGGGTGCCCTGTGTCAGGTGTGGGGCAGAGGTGTGGGTGCCCTGTGTCAGGTGTGGGTGCCCCATGTCGGGTGTGGGTGCCCCATGTCGGGTGTGGGGCAGAGGTGTGGGTGCCCCATATCGGGTGTGGGGCAGAGGTGTGGGTGCCCCATATCGGGTGTGGGGCAGAGGTGTGGGTACCCCGTGTCGGGTGTGGGTGCCCCATGTCGGGTGTGGGGCAGAGGTGTG